TTGCTTTATTTTTTAATTCTATTTATTATCTTTTAATTTACAAAAGGCGTTTGTAAATTAAAAATTGGATAGATTTTGATTTATTTTTTTAATTTTTTTGTTTTTTTAAATTAAAAAAAGGCATTTGTAAATTAAAAAAAATAAATCGATTTTGATTTTTTTTTATTATTTATTTAATTTTTTAAATAGCCGGAAGCCACTGATTCACTCTATTGACTATAATTGTGTTTTTGTTTACAAAAGGTTTTTGTAAATTAAATTATTAATAGATTTTGATTTTTTTTAAATTTACAAAAGGCTTTTGTAAATTAAAAAAATAAATCAATTTTGATTTTTTTTTGATGTAAGTTACTTTTTTTTAATTTATTTAATTTTTTAAATAGCCGGATGCCACTGAGTCACTCTATTAACTATAATTGTTTTTTATTTACAAACGGTTTTTGTAAATTAAATTATTCATAGATTTTGATTTATTTTTTGTATTTTTTGTACTTTTTTAATTTACAAAAGGCATTTGTAAATAAAAAATAGATCGATTTTGATTTATTTTTTTGATTTTATCTATTTCTTTTAATTTATTAATTTTTTAAATAGCCGGATGCCACTGAGTCACTCTATTTAATGGAATTGTATTGTTCTTGTTTATTTACAAAAGGCATTTGTAAATTTACAGAAACGAATTGATTTTGATTTATTTTTACAAATTATCTATTTTTACTTTACAAAAGGCTTTTGTACAGATTTTTTTTTCAAACTTTTTAAATAGCCGCAGGCCACTGAGTCACTCTATTAAATAGAATTGTAATAAAATTCTATTAAGAAATAAAAATACCAAAGGCATTTGTAAATTCGATCAATTTATATAAGTAAAAAAATAGATAGCTTTTATTTATTTATTTTTTTAATAGTAGCCGGAGGCCACTGAGTCACTCTATTAAATAGAATTGAATTTAGTTTTTTTACTTTGCAAAAAGCATTTGTAAATTAAATAGTGTAAACAAAAATCAGTTTATCAAATGGAATTGTATTATTGTTGTGTACTTTTTAAAATATTTTTATGAAAAAAGGGTTTATGTCCAATATAGCTCTATTACTGTATAAGTGCAGAAATCAGTAGTTTCCACAAGACCCTCGATCAAATAGATGTTGCCTGACGCAGTTGTGGGGGAGTTCGGGCCAAACACAACAGTTAAACATGCGATTTGAATGCGTTTCTATGGATCACATGAATGATTGGAAGGATCGGGGCCTCTACTGGTGTTGAAACACGGAAGAAGATGTGATCCTGTAATCCTATTGAGCGAGTCCGATATTCTCTCCATTTTCAGATATGTTAGTAGGGGAAGACCAAGGGGGGATGTTCACCTGACCACCCTTCCCCCATCTCCCCCCACACCATCTTTTCCATCATCCCCACTCCCCACCCATCCTATGCTTCCTACTCTCAATATGTCTTCTCCACTTACATTTTCTCACCTTGCACGCACATACCTCACACCACATCTCAATCAAACTATATTCCCGATCATATTAGTTTTTCTTCTCCCTATTCTCCTCTCTCCAAGCTCTATCAATCTCCTTCTTCTTCTCAACATTCCTCCCCACCCACCTTTTCCATCTGTCTAAGCACACATTACAAGTCGCATTCTTTTCATTAAACATTCCAAATTCCTTATTACATCCACACTGTCCACACCTTCTCTTCTCCACTTCCTCACCTCCACCCTGAGCATTCTCAATATGCATATTTGTTTTCTTATGCTTCCCCCATCCACTTTTCCTCACATTGCACTCACACACCTGACAATACACATTCTCAAACTTATCACCTTTCATCTCCTTAGTACCTATTGCTACTATCCCTTTAAGTATTGGTCAGGTGAACATCCCCCATTGGTCTCTCATAGAAGAAATTAGAATAGTAAATATCTAGTTTATAGCATTATATAAATATTTATCTGATCAACTCTTCTGGGATTATGTATAATTCCTTCTGATTAAACAATGTATAGTTTTCAAGTTTTCAGGCCATGTTTCCTTCCTATTGCTAGGTGCCCTTTGTGCTGTTTCCCTATGCCTATTCCCTTCCATTTGTACGCAGTTCTTTTTACATAATGGTTTAGGTGTCCAAGTTTTTATATTTGTCCAAAGTCTGGTGCGTTTTCTGTATGCCATTCCATCTTTACAATAATCAACATCAAAAAACGAAGTTTTTCATAAACTCTTGCTCCTTCAAAAGTCCGGTCTGGGGGGTTTTCAACGAAAACATTTGGATCAAAATAGTTTATTATGTCAATAGCTTTCTTCACTGTTTCATTTGCTTCATCAATTTTTCTAGTGCCTGTTTGTTTTGCTATGATGTATTCAGTGCAAGGCGGGGATGACCAAGTAACATCAAAGTCGTTGTCAAATTTATTATAATCAAATTTCAAAATATCCTCATTGATACTAGCATTTTTAAGATCAAGTGATATAATAGTATAACCAAGTTCTTTAACAATTCTTCCAACACTACCTGTGCCTGAAAATATAGGGGTTCACGAAATGATGGCACAAGTAAAATGGTTGAAATATGCCATCAAAGATTAAAGATTTCAGCGCAAAATTGAGCTTTGACAATAGGAACACTCAAATGACATACCAATACACTGAAGCAATGGCAGGGCCGCTGTGAGAGCGGGGTTCTTTGAGAGTGCTGGGGTTGCATTCACAAAAGAAAAGTAAAAGAGAGGGAGGAAGGCAAGCAGGGAGAGAGGGAGGGAGGGGGAGGAAGGGAATGAGGAAATGACATGCACTAACACAGGAACAGCATACTGAGAGGAGAGGACCATTATATACAACAATGGTAGGTCCGCTGCGAGAGCAGGGCACAAAGCAAAAGGGAAAGAAGAGGCAGGGAGTGAGGAAGGGAGGAGAATGAAATGAATTGAACATAGGAACGCTAAGATGGTACACCACACACAAAGAGAGAGAGAGAGAGAGGGAGTTACAGAGAGTGAGAGAGTGAGAGTGAGAGTGAGCTAGTCTCATGCTTAGAATCCAGCAAATGGAATGAAGTCCAAGAGAAGGAACAAAGGAAAGAAACTATACAGACAGGAAAGGACACCCCCCAAAAAAACACATATAATATATATATATATACGTATATAAGATGAGATCAGGCGCCTGCTGCACAGGCTACCTTATTTGATCTTGGTTAAGCCTTTGTTCAGGGAGCCGCGGTGGGAGAGAGAAAGAGAGAGAGAGGAACTAACATAACTAAGGACGTCCTGGAACCCCTGGCAAGTAATTGAGGTATGTCCAAACAGGCTAAAGGGCATGAAAAGAATACTAAATAGAACGGCAAGGATAAAGGCAGTTGAAAGGATGCGAGGAAAGAGTGGTATGCATTGAACATAGGAACGTTAAGATGGCACGTGAGGAAATGATATGCACTAACGCAGGAACAGCATACCGAATGGAGAGGACCACTATATACAACAATGGTAGGTCCGCTGCGAGAGCAGGGCACAAAGCAAAAGGGAAAGAAGAGGCAGGGAGTGAGGAAGGGAAGAAGAATGAAATGAATTGAACATAGGAACGCTAAGATGGCACACTACACACAAAGAGAGAGAGAGAGGGAGTTACAGAGAGTGAGAGAGTGAGAGTGAGAGCGAGCTAGTCTCATACTAGAATCCAGCAAATGGAATGAAGTCCAAGAGAAGGAGCAAAGGAAAGAAACTATACAAACAGGACACCTACAGTGCATGACACTCTTGGGGCTGCTGGATGGAAAAGGTTTTTTGCGGAAACTGAGTTTCTGGTGTGGGAGAACTGGAAAGCGTCGACAGAGAGAGAGAGAGAGGGAGAGAGAGAGAGACCAGCAAACAGAATACAACACCCTTAAGGCCTGCAACAAACAATAAGATGGCATACCAGCCAAACGGCTCTAGTAGATTACAATGCCGATCCCCCCAAGCATCAACTGACCACTATGATGGCACACATGGCCCTTTCAGATCCTCGATGTGTTTCATCAAAAAGTGCATATATGCCATGTATTGTCTCGATTCCCGTGTGCCATCAAAGTGTGAACCTGTATAACTGTTATAATTTCATAATAATATGTTGTCATAGAAAATATATTATCATGAGTATGTTTCAGTGTCTTCAGCATAATCAATTTTGTTATATTGTATGGTGGTCTCTTTAGGTTGTTTTATTATTTTTGAATTCAACATTTCTAAATACTGCTTCCTTTTAGATTCAAAGTCCCCTACTGGTCTACCTATGCTTTTCTTTTCAGATGCTTCTCCATTTTCCTTAAATCATTTTTTCTCATTAGTCTTTTCATCAATGGTTTTTAACAACTGTAAGATCAATTTAAGACTATTATTATATCTGTTCATTTTCTTTATCAGCTCATCAATTTTATCAGTATTATCTAAATCCACCATCATCGTTTGAAACTTTCATAGTCTTATCTTATCACTCTTGCTGATTTTAAAGCTATATGGATTACACTTACACTTTTTGCCTTTAGTGTTGATTTCAATTTCATTCTCAGTTGTAGTTTTCCCTGGCACAAAGGACAGTCAAAGGTAATGAATTTGCTTGTTAGTTTTTGTTCTTCATCTAGTTTTATTGTTGTTGGTTCTTCATCTGCTAGTTCAAACTCTTTCGGGATTTGTGTTTTATTCATCTTTGTTGTTTTTTGTCTTTTTTGGTGGCATGTATATTACATTTTAGATAAGTAGTTATCAATTTTGACATTTCCAGTGAGTATTTACAACACTGCTTAAGTTTATTATCTTTAACAACTGGATATTTAGCACTATCATTTTTTCCATATCATCTCTTCCTGTTATATAAGCATCATGTTCAGATAGCGTCATAATATATAACTATAATTAGATAATGCTTTAACACCATCTAATTATGTAGTGCTTTGGAGAACACTAAAAACGAATTCAACTGTAAGGGCAAAAAATCCATTGCTGAAAAGCAAACTAATTACCGACTTATGCGGATTAGCGTAGCCTCACCTACCGCACTCTGTCCATAGGAGATCTGCTAATATTTAATAATGTTTTCTATGTATTTTTATTAATAGATGAATAATAACACCGCACCACATATTCAACCTATCAAAGAAATCAATTATGAATTCACTCAATCAAAATATGCTGTTGCCTCTAAAGTGCCCTTTAGATCAATCATAACCGGTCCGTCTGGTAGTAGCAAATCAGTGCTACTAACAAACATGAATATGGACACCTACAAGGAAGTTTTTCAAGGGTGTATATCTGGTCACCTTCAATAAATGTTGATAGCATCTGGTTGCCAGTCAAGAAATACATAAAGGAAGACATGAAAGTGAACACTGGTAAAGAGCAGGTTTTGTTTGAAGACTTTCACAGTGAAGATTTAATGAAAGTCATTGAAACACAACATAGAATAACTGAATACAGTAAAAAAAACATAAATAAAAAAAACAATCCTAATAGTCTTGGATGATATAGCAGATGATCCCAAAATAGCAAGATATTCAAACATATGTGATTCCCTTTATGTAAGAGGTAGACACAATGGTATTAGTGTTATAACATCTGTTCACAAATTTAATGCACTGACCACACTGATAAGAGTTAATGCCACACACCTATTCTTCTACAAGGTCAGCAACTTTAAAGAAATAGAACTGTTTCAAAAAGAACTATCAGCAATACCTAGAAGAAAAGACACAATATCCAAGAAAGTAAGCAGGTCTTATATAAACTTTATGAAATAGCCACTGAACAGCCACATATGTTTTTAGATATTAATCTTCTGGAAAAGGATAGGAACAAGATGTTTATGATCAATTTTTCACACTATTTGCAAATTGATGATTGATAATGTTAATATGATCAATCTTTATACCAATGAAGGAGCACAAATATTATAGCAGGTAGTTTATACATAATCCTATTCGATTTCAGGATGTGAGCAGCTGGGAAGGTTCGTCAAGGGTACACATTCTATCACGAGCGAAATGAACCCCAGAGGTCCCTACCACATATATATATATATATACAATCTTATACAACTACTACAAGTAAGACCAAGAGGCCCAGCCCACATTTTTGCCCCGGGAAACTTTGCAGACGAAAGCAGGTTCTTGTCCTTCCCTGTGAGCCACACTCCACGCTGTGTCATTACATGTTAAGACCTGTAATAAGATATTCACCTAAACACAGATGGGTGAACTTCGACTTGTCATGTCCACCAGGCTGACTGCTACACCCTAGGGAAGGACATCCATCATCCACCAGGAAGCAGGTTCAACCTCCACTCCCCTGACGCGGGAATCGCCGGCCAGAGTCCGAATCGTACCGAACCGCCCAGGCTTTTGCCCTGAGCTTGTGGGGATTCCACGCTTACGAACTTCTTTGGCGATTGCAGCTCAGGCGGGACCGGAGTTGGATGCGGTGTTCGATGCGGTGTTCGATTTGGTTGATGTGGTGAGTGTTGGCATGTGGGCCGGTTGACATTTGTTGGCTCCAGATGATGAGATGATTCGATAGGAAGCAACTATATATCTATTTGTGTAGTAGTTGCAGCTATCACACTATATTTAAACTCCGAACTTGTAGGTCACTGGGGCCGCCCCAAATTTTGTTTGACTTAGGCAGCATTTGCAGGTAATCTTCCAAAGTAGCAGGAAACACTAGATCATTGTGGAATCCAATATTGTTTGTTGTTTGTTGTTAGATGTGATCCGCTTCGGGGAAGCAAGATGTAAGACATTCGCACTGGAGACCGATGATATCCAACCTTCTGATATCTTTGTTCCTTGCACTACAACCTTGTGGATGTTGGGAACATGTTCTGTGCAGATCCATTTAGATCCCCAAAGAGCAACACAGCCACCTGGAGACCTGGACCACATGTCCAGTATTGGAGAGAATTGCAAGTAGTGTCCTGGTATATTTTGTCGTTTTTCATCACATGTTGTTACATTGTTGTTTGTTGCCATCAGTTGGCCATCAGTACTTGTCCGACATGGTTTGAGAGATAGGAAGTCCAAAGGAACATGCTGCCTTCTGGAAGGGGGCACGAAGGGGCAGTGGGTGAAGCACAGTAGGGGAATGCAGGGGGCACAAAGAGCCTTGGATGAAAACGCAAGGGGAGCATATGGGAGAATGATCGGAACAGCTACCATCATCCACTGAAACAGACTGAACACAGAGACAGCATATGGGGATGGGTCCAAACCTGAAGCCCTGGTTCACCATGTAGCAAACGGCCTCAACACAACCATTCTGTTTGCTGCACTTGTCGGCCCCTTCGCCACGCGTCAGCCGCCGCGTCAGCCGCGCCGCGCCGTTCCGTGACGCCGGTGCGAGGCCGTTCAGTTGGGTGGATTGGGAGCATCTCAGGGAGTCAGCGAAGGAGGCCGCGACCGGTGCGTGACAGTACGTGACTGGCGTGGTTTCAATGGCGCCAGAGGAGATGGTCATGAACCCCAGAAACAAAGTGAGATGTTATTGAAAGAAGTGAAAGGGTGGTATCATGTTTGTTGTCTTTGTCTCTCTCTCTCTCAAATAATAAGTATACTAAGTTTGCAGTGATTGTTTTTTCATGCTGGAGCGGAGTTTTCCAAAGGACCTGGTGCAGATGATGTGTTAGATCTCATTTCAGAAACATGCTTCCACATGTGACATCATGTGTGTGGCTCTTTGTTTTGCATTTCACATCATTTGACACAGCTGTATGAAATGCTTCCACAAGCCCCTGTTGAATCTCCAAGAATCGCCACGAGCACACCTGGCTGGCAGACGCATGCCATGTTGCTTTTTGCGAATCTGAACAGACTCTGAGGACATAAGGCGTACTGTAAGGGGTGGCCCAGACTACGACGTCAGACACGATCATGATTCTGTCTATTATGTACCTCCTTTGGTGTTTGAACAGAACATCGACAGCCCCACCCAACCGTTCGCAGCCCGTTTTCTCGCACGTTTGTCTCCAGAGTCGAGGCCCAGCGTGCGGCCATGCGTTCCTGGGATGAGTTGGATGCTTTGCAGTGTCATGGCGACAAGGGTGGTGACGCATGAGCAAAGCTCATGTCACTGGAAGGATATTGGACGTTTGGTCGTGTCTGGATGTGTTTGGTGAACAAACAGCTTTCAAAACGACAGGATGGTGCGGGAGTTCCGCGTTGTTAAGACAGAATTGCTTTTTTGGTTACTCATAAACAGAGATACGTTGGCAGAGTGAAGTGTACCTCGCAAAAAGTCATGTTCCCTACATATGTCCAGTCAAACCACCTTCGAACACCTGCAGCACACTCCGGCCACAACGATCACAACGCACCATTGAGCGCCTCGGGCCTCCGGCGCCTGGTCCGAGCCCGCCCGGTAGGCGGTCGATGCAACCGATTTTCCGAGGTGCCTTTTGCTGTGTGGTTTTTGGTCCGGAGCCCAGTCGGTCGCTGCTGGAAGGGTTTTTTGTTGGGGGCGTTCGGTTTGGGGTTCGGTCGGTGGAGTAGAAGCGGGTTGAGTACACCAGAGATCACCATACTACACCTAGCTGACGGATGCGTTACAGTGTTAGAGGCCTGGGGCCGTGCTCAAAGCCATGCGGAGCAACACGGCAGGAAGAAAGGAAGAAGAAAGACACATCCAGAAATCAGCTTTCTGGGGCGTGGGCCAGGATGTTGAGTATGGTTTCCGATGGCCAAGTCACCTCCTTCTTTTCAGTGCCCTGGTAGCTTGAAATCCCTCAGTCTGACCAAGTCCACTCTGATGTTTTGGATCCTCTGGTCACATGCTTCGTTGCTATCGCTGTGCAAGTGTCCCACTTTTGGATGTCTTCTGAAGGATCCAGCATCATCCAGCAGCATCCAGCACCCCACCTCGTCTTGTTGCCGGTTCACACGAGTTTTGCATTCAAAGCTCCATCCAACTCCCACCAGATGAGTTCGACCTCCGGTGAACCTCACATGATTTGGCAAGATTGAAGAGAACGAACGGGCGATTCCGGCGGTGGCCATGGATTTGGAACGGAGTTGGCTCATGGAATCGAACGGATATATTTGGACCCTGAAAAGTTGGGTTGTTCTTCCACACTCAAAACCCTGGCAGCATCAAAACCCTGGAACTGGGAGATGTCGATGAGGGCAAAATCTGACTGTTGGATCCAAGCGCATTTGTCCAACTGTCTTTAGTGTGCAAGAGATTGTGTTCTGTTCAGCTTTGGGATCTCGCTTTTGGCACCACTGACTCAACTGACTGACTATTCCTCTTAAAAAGCTCAGACTTAGCAACTTCGACCTCACAGAGGGGCCACTAGCTTCAATGTGTGTGGAGAATAGTCCTCAACTCATCCAAAGCAGATGCTTTTGGATCCTGAAGAAATCTGGGCACCACAGAGTTTGTCTATTTTCATTCAGACAAGCTCTCCCGTCTGAGGACAGTGCTGCTTGGGCCTGTGCCATTCACCCGGGTAGGGCTGCCCAGAGACAGCTGCAGTCACGCTTCAGCATAAACCGATCCGTCTCTGGCCATAGATGAAGCAAATGGACATAGTCTGGTTTGGGGAGCATTGTGTCCCAGACAATAGTTTCATTGATTTACCTATATCTACCCTAATTGTTTGTGACCCTAATATAAGGAACTATTCTAATCCCATGGATGGTCTAGGTGTTAAACGCTCTTGGCCATGTTTCTGGGGTTCAGGTCAACGTGGCTGGCCGGTCGGTTCCGCCACATGTGCCTATAGGGTGAATGGCCAGTACCTATGGACCGCTGCAATGGGGTGAATGGAATGAGACCGGTGTCAAGACAACCCCTGCTCAAGCCTGGGCGTGGCCGATTGCCTTTGACCCTTCATTGGCCGGATGTTCACAGTTCCTCCAAATCTCATCGTGGAAGACCAGAGAAACATGATGTAAAATGCACTTCATGTGCCAAATGGCCACTTTTCACTTCGATTGTTTTCAATCAATAGACCAGGAGCAAGGAGGCTACTAGGGGCTCCTGGCATCGCTACTAGGAGCAAGAAGCTACTAGGGGCTCCTCGCCGTACTACTAGGAGCAAGGACGCTAACAAAGCTTCAAGCCTTGGGCCTTCGCCACGTCTCCTTCCATCACCACTCGCTCCCGTCGCACGCCTGAGGTGATTTTGGGCGACCACTCCGTCGAACAGGCGATGAAACGCATCGCTCGATCAAGTGACAGCGAACGGGGCGATGCGGCATGTTCAAGTGACAGCGAACACTGTGGGGGCGAGGAGCCGGTCCTACCACGATGTGTTCCAGTCCAAAAGTCTGGGCCGTTTGATAGCGGGTTGATGCAGGTTGGAGTAGAAGAAACCTCAGCAGATGCTTTGAGTCGACACTTGTTTCGTGTTGACCGGGTGATAGGACCCTCCACGACTTGGGAAAAGCTACCAGTATCGGTCTTGGTCTACACAGACCAAATCAGTGACTTTAAGTCTTGAAATCCGGTGATTTCACGGGTGAAGTGAATAGAGACATACAGGTTCACTGGGCGCTTTCTCGCCTTTTGGCGTGCGAAATGATGCTTTTGCAAACATGGGCACCTCCGTATGCAGTAACACCTAGAAAGTGATCATCGCATGACGAATCGCATGCGTGAATTCTTCTTCCGTCCTTTGAAAACAAATGTTTCAAGAGCTTGCAATGTTTCAAGTCTCTCGCAGCAAGCCCTAGCGTGGGTCATATTTGCTTATACGTGCTTGGACATGGCAGTCTTACACTCGGCAGGACAAGCATTTGCATTTGCATGGTTTAACATGTTCCTTCTAGGAATCTATTTCTTCCTGAACCAAACCAGAACTTTTTTTTCCGTTCCTTCATATTGATTCCCAACCCTATTTCAAGTCAAGTAGCTCACGTTACCAAGAGCTTCTTCAATTTTTGTTCATGGAAGACGCCACTTTTCAGGAGCCACCTTGATCACCTCGCGAGCCTCCAACACCTCGGAGATAAAAGGCGAAGCACGCTCTGAACCGGCTGCTGTCCAGGTGATGATCGGCTCCATAGTGGGCTTGTCCTCCAGCTTGACGGTTTGGATGGCCGCACCACGGTCCAAAGAAAGGAGAGTCTCGTGGAGAGTCGAAGTTCCTGCCCTTGGAGGTCTCAAAGCCAGTTCTAGTGATTATATATTAACATGATATAACACATTATGAGAGTAAAAGCTTGCAGCAGTCCATCTACAGATTCATTCCAAGTTTGTTGAGAGCCCGGAAAGATCATCAGTCTGGCGGGAGGGGGGTCACTCTGAAGTTTCTGAAGTATCACTCTGAGTCTCCCATGTCCCAACAACTTGAAAGTCCCAACCCAGAAATTCTGCACGTGGTCGAACGTCGAACTGCTCTCACGGCCGAGGCCCGGGCGCTGCAAAAGAGCCACAACCATCAGCTCGACGAAGATTGGCGCCCCGCCCTTGCGTTCGGAGCGCCACGCCGGTCGATGGACGATGGTCGAGGGAGATGGAGCGGCACCCGATACACGTCGGACGTCGAGGTTTTTCGTTGAGCATGCGCGGAGAGGTAGTTGGATGGGCAGGGCTCTTTGGGGGGGGCGCTAGAAGTGTAGTTTCATCAAAAGAAATTGTGAGAGTCACTGGAAGTCACTATGAAGATCACTTTGACAATCGATGGAGTCGTAATGAAGATCCCTATTTCAGCTCACTCTGAAATCTCTGAAGGTGATGGAATCTGAGGATTAAGCTCCGAGATCGGGTACATCGGTCTCGCCTCTTAGGTAGTATAGATACATCGGTCACGTCTCTTCATCGTATTCAGGGTGGTTGATTTCAGGGTCACAGTATACCCTCCGACTCACTCACATGGAAGTGGAAAAGGGACCCTTGGAAGATGATGTTCCTTTACGAACAGGGTGGTTTGCACTTCCATGTTGGTGAGTCGGAGTGCAGGGATATATTCCATCCATGGATGGTCTGAGTATGTCTGAGTCACATTTGTATTTTGTTGCTTTAACTTTCCGCAGAGTTGGGTGTCCTGTATGCCAAGCACTCCATGAGTCAGTCAGTCCAATGATTCCAAGATGCGAGGTGCCTTCTGCCCAAACCGCTCTTCCGCTTTTGTTTGTCTTTCTGCTGAAAGCCCATTTTTCCCTGCGAAGCGTTGTTCACGTCAGCTGCCAACACCTAGCCACTAAGCCAGTTTTGCTCTTTTTGTTCTGAACTGTTACGTCACTTCACAGAGAACCCCACCAACCGATGTCCCTGCTCAAGTGCTGTGGTGAGCATCGGCTTATACGCTGGGGGCCCCAGCAGCCAACGGTCCATTGAAACAGTTCGGCCATGCCGTCCTCCATGTTTTAGATGAAGAAAACCTTCTTTACTAATTGTAAATTGATTCTAATAGCAAACATTGTTACTACTAGTAAGGCACTTGTTGCTAGAAGCGATGCACTTGTTCCTAGTAGTAAATATGTTCATAGCGGTGAGGTCTCAAATGCTCTGCAGACTGCACACCTGATTAGGGTGAAACATGTTGTGACTGATATGGATAGGCTTGGAGAAGTGCACCACACTGTCCCTAATGTAGAATCTTGACTGATATGGATGGTATTACGGTAAAACCTCTTATCAAAACATTATGCCAACCTGGTGCCTCCCCAAACCACTGGCACTGCAGAATCTTGCAGGTCTTGCAACAAGCTGGCCCCCCAAAAAGGTATATATAAGTCACCCTTCCAGTCCTTTGACCGAGTCTGACCTTACATAGATAGTCTCAGCAGATATCCACTCCCCCCAAAAACCAAAAAACATGGACCCTGTGGTCGAATGGGCACCCCTTTTTGGTGTTGGCACCCTGTTCCTCCCAACGCCAGCGGTTTTCAGGGTCCATGTGGGCACCGTCTTCGTGCCGCGCAAGTAAACGACAGACGTGGACTTCAGGTGTCCGGCTCCGAAAACTTCAGATGTCCTGCCCCCTTCAGGGGTTCCGTTCATGGATGGTCTTAGTCCGCATGGTCTCAGCATCATCGACTCGCTCCAGGCCACAACATGGCGTTGCCGCTCAGTTCCGTGCGGCGCCGCCTGCAGCGCGGCACACCGGAGCCGGCGCGGAGGGAGCCGCTTGGAAGGGAAGGTGCGGAGGAGTGGTGGGGTGTGGTGAAGTCAACATACCTGCACGAAATGGTAGGTGTAGTGCTTGAATTCAACATGTCCTCATTGCCAGAAGGTAGTTAGACCCTCCAAACCAGAACCAAACACCTTCTCAGGAGGTAGAAGTTGGGACCCCAATGTAGAAATTGTCAGGCAGTGTGGACAAGGAGGCACCCAAGACTATGAAATCAGGGATCACGACTTACAGCACAGGAATCACCGCCAGTTTTTCTTGACAAGTTGGAAGAGGTCTCATGCGTGTGTTTCTTTCTTTGCTTGATGAGCTCGAAGTTTGCAACAATGCGTGCCATGGTTCATGACATGACTTGAACCATTGGTTCCCTGCGACATTGAGGGATTGCTGATCCAGTATGTCAGATGCTGCGGGTGTTAGACAGTTTATTGGTGACTTCATTGTGGAATCTTGGGTTGGGGCAGACCTCCCAAATGTTCCAAAACCGCATCAAATCCCATTGGTACTACTCGTAGGTACCAGTCCGCTAAGTTTGGATCGATGCAGCAGCCAAAGCAGTGATAGCTTCAATGTGGAAGATCGCGGCATCTCGACATGTTTCAGTGGCCTAGGCTTCAATGGTACATCGACAAGCTTAGCGCGGAGATCGACAGGCGGGCCCACGCGGCCCACGCGGATGGGACGTGCAGCGCAGGAGCTCAGTGGGAACGGGTCCCAGACGAACGACGAACGGGACTGGAAGAGTTACATAGATACCGGTATTGTTCCATGAAAATGACCCAGCCACGGTAGCTATTCCATATGTAGATGGTCTGGGGGTGAGTCATTTTGGTTTCACACCGTTCGCACCCAGGTGATTCGGTCCAGGAACACGTTGTGTCACTGCCGTGGAAACCCTCTATCAGCTGCGTACCTTCTGGATGGAAGAACCTCAGCAGCCAGTTTCAGAAGTGACGATCAAACGAAGCAGTGAAGGCAAGGTCCTGGGTTTGTAGGTTCACAGCAGAAGTACTTCCTGCAGTGCTTTGGAACAACGGTTGAAGGTAATCAAAAACTGTGTCTCTCTCCCTCTCTCTCTTTTGGTGTGTTTGAACACGCGTACATGGCCTATGTCTCGGGGTTCTGTGAAACATTTTCCCACTGAAGTTCACTGAAGGGTATGTTTCTCTCCAACCTACGGTTGTAGAGCAGGGACGTTTCGGTTTATATATATACTGTAATTGTCAGCTTCATCCAGCTCAGTCTCTTGCCTGTTTCGGCTGCAATTTCTGCTCAGGGCAAACCTCCTTGTAGGGAGTGAGACAGAAATAGAGAGAAGACATGTTTAGATGGGCACTTTCAGCAGGTTTGTGTGTCAGTTTGCGTGTCAACAGAGCAGTGGGCGGGGGCCACCCGACAGAGCTATGCCGAAGAGAAAGGCGGTGTCACCTTCACCGTCCCTGGATCCTGCAGATCCATGCGCGGTTGGCCAATTCTGGCTGACTGAGGATGAAGTAATATGATCCGGGAGAAGATGATGAAGATGAGAAAAACTTGGAGGTGGGACGTGGAGGAGAGAACAAAAAGAGGGTGAAGCAGAAGGAGGCAGAGGCCAAAGAGGCCAAAGCGAAGGAGAGGCAGGCGAGAGAAGCCGCGAAAGCGGCAGAGAAGGCTGCGAAATTGATGTGTTCGACCAGGAATCAGACACTGACACTGACAACAGAACTGAGGAGACCGGGGGGGAGGGGGTCACGTGGCGAGGCTAATTTAGTCCCAAATCAACAGAGTGACTGGTAATGACTGGTATACCTTGGCTGAAACAACCTGGTTGTCCAGCAATATTTGACAGAATTGGGCGAGCGTCACACACCTGTGGTCGATGTCGAGAGACGTTGAGACTGTGGTTTCTTGGTCTTCCACGAGGGTCCGGATTGACCTGTTCAGGTGCCGCGCCAGATGGGGATTGCCTCGCCCTGGTCTCCGTGCGACTAACAAGAACGCAATTTTCTGGCCAGCTTGACAGTACAGGTCTCCGAGGATCGTGTGGGGCCCCTCAGTCCGAGGGTACACAACACCTTCCGCGCAGCATGTCGTCTGACTGTCGATTTGGCAGGCCTATTTTTTTGGGGTTGTTGGCCGCCAACCGAAGACCATCCCAACAAGATTTGTTTTGCAGGTGCCTGTGACGTTTGAAGTTGAAGGATCGCCGATGCGCCGTCATTCGTGCGTTCTGTTTGTGGCCAATGTCTTCCCCAGTACAACGTTCAGGGAGCAGACTACACCTTGCCAATTGTTAGAGAACGGAGACCTATGAGACTCTATTCTACGCCAGCGAAGATCACCGGATTTCTTAAGCACTATTTGTGAAGGGCAAGAGCACCAGCTTCGGTGGGTCTCCTGGGGGATCCTTGACCGTCCACCTGGCGATTCATCGCTTGACCTCGCATGGTGGATTTGAAGGCTGGTAATTAGTAAGTATAAATGAGTGACCAACAATTTCACTGTGGGTCAAAACGTCAAAACCGCTTTCCCCTCCATGTCACCGATGGATAGGTTGGCAATAATGACCAAGAGGATTCTCATTAATGAGGGCTGTCTATCAACTAGGGCTGTCTGGGCACTGTGACACAACCAAATTGATGGGAAGTTGGCCTCTAAGTCTTTGGGTGAACTCGCTTTTCGACAAAATCAAGGTAGCAAGGTGGTTCTGCTTACCCTGAAACTGTTCTTGTGTGAAGGGTGTCAGCCAAAAGATTCACCTCGACTCGATTTGGAGTCGAGTTTCGACGTGGCTTTTGCTGCTCAGATCAGAAGATTAATTCATATCTTCAGCGACGTTGCAGCTTGGCCGTGGGAAGGGTTGCAGGTCAACCAAGGTTTGCAAGCAATTGCTGTAGGTGGCCCTTTGCCATCACATTTTCCGACAATCGAAGAGAACCTTCAAAGAATTGAGGGCTGCCCCAGGGGCCGTCCACGCAGTCTTATAGATTTGATAATATGATTTGATTGTTGGAGGAATGAGCCGCGGTTTTGGGTTGGACTCGTTGTGCCGCAGGCCAATCATGGAGGTAGCTTAAACCGTGGGTGGAGGGAATTCCTTCTCTTCTAAGACCGTGCTTTGGGGAGATCCAAACGGAGCCCGCCTTGATTTGCATTGCAGGTCTCATCAACACTGAGTACCTAGCTAACATATATGCTGCTCTTTTTTCTTCAAACTAGACCTGTGGCACGCTACGATGTCCGAAACCATTCCGCTCGGAGTCAATCTCGTCCCTCAGTGCTACCAGCCACAAGAGGCATAACTGGACCGTCTCCAATCCCCTCCGGTCCACAACCGCCAAGCTGTGCAATGTCTTGAGGCGGAAGATGTCCATACCAATGAGCCCACTGTGAACATCGACAACATGTGCCGGAGACGGCGCGCAGGCTTCAAAGACATTTTGCAACACATGGTGGAAGAGACACGCACCGAAAGGGCACGGGAACGCGAAGAAGCTGAGGCAGCAGCAGGCTGTGAACAAGTGGGTGCTCGTCGCAGGTTTTTGTTTGTTGCTGTTGTTCTTGTTGTGCGAGTGTTCAAAGTGGGTGTGGGAAGTGAGGCCTGACATGGGCACGCTGCATTGATCTAGTTGAAGGTTTTGCACACAATGTCACAATGTGGTGAAGTGTTCACAAACCTGTCAGGAACAGCCGCTGATGAACAAGTGGAAGCCGCTCCACCAAATCAGGAAGTTGCAAGCGCTCCAACCACTACTGCAGACCCCGCACGGGAGCCTTTGCCACATCCGCCAGAGGACGAGCTTTATCGGAATGAAGAAGAACTGAAGAATTTCCTCGATGAATGCGAGGAATGGATCCGAGACTGGTGATGTTTCAAGTCTTGGCTCCAAATAGGGAGGCCCCATATCCATACTGTTGCAAAAAGGTTGGCCAAACAAACCAAGGATTCACATCAAGGGCTTGGATGGACAAGTCAACTTTCTTTTTTGGATCAATGTGGGGGCTCCATTCAAAATGGACTGCTGATCAGCATGTCCGGGCGTTTCATCAAAAGGGAGCTACAGTGCTGACGCTCCTCCTGTGGCATGGAAAAAGCGGAATTGTGGCTGGCAGAGATGATTAACCGGCAGGCAGATAAGGATCTCCTGCCTTTTTGCCTGTATGGCTTGATCTGTGAAATGACTACAGTGACTACAGACACATAAGGTGTTTCTTTCCATGTGTTAATCCTCGTTTCGTTCCGGAAGCTCTATTTCTTGTGTAATAATTACACAACATGCAGTTGTTTGCTTTGGGTGGAAGGGCAGTACGCCACAAAAAGAACAGCAGATCCCCCGGCGTGGGTTCAGGTGGTGCAGGATTTGTTCCACCAAGAGTAGATATGTTGACCCAGGATCTTTTCAATGACTTGCCTTTTCGGATGGAGGCGCTGCTCCCACACACCCTGCGAAAACGCAAGCCTCAAACCCTCAAGTTGCAGCCTGACAACTGGAATGGTCTTCGGAAATCCTCATAACTCAAACAACTGCCCGGTCCAAAATTCTCGGAAGCCCATCAGAGCGTGCCCTGTTTCAACCAGATTCCGCCCTTCTCGGCTTTGTTGACTGGATTGGATGAGTCAATACATTGTGTCACTCAATAAGGATTTTGTTGTGTGGTGGGCCGTGGTTTGTCACAATCAATTTGGATGTTGGTTTTCTGAAAGTGGTACATTGACACGGGTATTCCTGGTTATTTCACCGTCCAAAAGAACCAGCCACCAACTACATGAACCGTGCCCAGTCCCCGTGCCCACCGCTCGCCGTGCCCACCGGTTTCGGCTCCGTCGCAGGTCGGACGCCCGGCCCTATGCCAAGCATCGCTTCAAGGAGAACAACGCCGGGAAGCCGGTCACGCGCCGGTCACGCGCCGGTCAAGCGAACCGGGCCCCCGAAAACACCGCAAGCAAAGAGCCCAAGAGCCGCGGCGCGGGGGCGTGTTTGCGGAGAGGTTTGGCTTCGTTGGTGTGTGTTTTTCTTCTTGTGTTTAATGTTGTTGGTTCGGGAAATTTCAACAACTGCCGGTGTGGTTTGGTCAATTTTTTTTGTGGGGGGGATCCCAGAAAAGATCAGATGTTTTGGTTGGGGTGATGTCTATTGGATTCTTGCGATGGAGTGGCAGCGTCATACATGTCTCATACTAGACCCTTGAAGAGGAAACAATAAGGCCAGAAGGCCAGAAGGTCTTCAATTCAACTTCATCGAGCCAGACCCACCTGGAACTAAGATGGTTACGTGGATGGCATGGCCCCAATTTTGGAGGACCAGACATCCTCTACAAACAGGGTGCCATCCGCTTCCATGTTACCCCCCTGCAGACTATTGTTAGACCGTGAAGATGGACCCCTGCAAGGCCATTCTCATCTACCACCCACTGCTTTTCAGGGTCCATGTTAATCTGCAGGAGGGTTGTTCCAGGAAGGCCAGAGACACAAGAATCGTCGGACCAGTCGTTGTGTTCGCAGTTGCTGATGTTGCAGATGGAAACAGCTGAACTGCAGCAAACAACTGGCGAGACATGGATGACTTAATATCGACAAGACTAAACTATACAGCCGTAGTACTCTGTGAAGTTTTGTTTGGCACATCATAAGAGATCATAAGTTACAGCAATGATTTTTGCTGCTCAGCCGCGCAGGGCGATTTGATGGATGTTCTCCTTGAGGGTCTGAGTTGTTCTGAGTTCTTTAGCACTTTGGGATGCATCGGATGAGCCGCTGGTGAACATCAGGTCGACCCTCATGTACCACGACTCCCATCGTCGTCAGCCAGGGCGGTTTCTCTTCCTGCGACCGGCAGGAGATGAAGCGGTCCCTAGAAGCTTGTAGAGATGAAGGCAGGCTACGTCGGAACTTCCGACATGACCACCAGTCAAATGGAGAAGTCTGTCAGGATCTTTTGGACTGTTTTCTGCGTAATGACATTGGCGCTGCTTTGGCTATGTAGCCAAGAAACACATGTCAAAACTTCAAATCCCTAAGGCATACTGTATGGAGATCAGTATCATTTTCCTTGATCTTCCCCCTAAAGCTCAAAAGTCCTTTGCTCGCTGGCGGTGCTGTTTCTCTGCCTAAATCTATGCGGCGCTTTTTGTTGGACAAACCAAGGATCACCAAGGTAGACAAACAGCTGACCTGGTGATGAACTAGCTGGTTCTGTTGTTCTAACGAGCTGGTTCTGTTGAACACAGCTGCTCTGGTGTCAGTTCGGAGCTACTCGTTCGACGGACCGTCCCAGGCAGCCACTTCCCGGTGGACCGCTGCGGGGAACACTGGATTCGGTGCGTTCGGTGGATGAAAGGGGCAGTGTGATGGCCCTTCTTGAGCCCGTGAAGGATGACCGGGCGGGTTTTCAGGCGAGTGACATCTATATAAACAAATAGGAAGTGGTACTCACCAGGTGTTCTGAGTGAGCATCCAACATCCAAAGAATTTAAGGGGTGCACCTTTGTGCATGTACAGCCTTGTTTGGCCAGAGGGGTGAATACTTACACAGAAATGGGGTGAAATGGAAGGACGATGACGATACTCCTATAGTTGCTTATACTTAGTCAACTGTTCTAAGGTTTGGCGTTCAACTTCGCGTTTCATGTGTTTCCCCTAAGAAAGAAATTTGGGTTGTGGTGAGTTCGTTTCGTTTCTTGAAACAAACATCATGACAATGCTTGATATGCATGTGTGTAGTGTGTTTTGTTGCTAGTTGTTTGCTTAGGTGATATCACCTGCAACTTGCAAGTGCACAAACACGTAATTATGTGGGCGAGGACCTTGTTAGACAGGTACTGCCCTTGCTTCGGAACCATATGGAAGAGGATTCGAGGCCCACCATTTGGTCCCCCGGTGTTCGCACCCCTATTTGGCGCAAATCAAGACAGGATTCCACTGTCACGGAATAGTCTGCTCTGCGACACCCCCAAAATGGGACAGTACCATCGCATATCATATTCCATGCTCTCCTTTAAGTCTTGGAATTGATGAGCTGTGGTAGGGAACCAACAATCAGACTTCTCAGCACGACGTTTTCAATGGTCCATCCTGGTTTGTCTAGGCCTATATATAAACCTCCCTGAGACACGTAAGAGCCAAAAATTGTATAACATAGTTTCTTATATAGCTTTTAGGAACTACCGCAGGATGTGGTCTCGAGATCCAAACCAATTAATTGCTGTTCGTTTGCTTTTCGTTCTTCCCACCCCTCAAAGGGCGCGCAGGGCCCACGACCGAAGCAGGATCTGAACGACGTGGCCTCGCGGGCTGGGTCGGGGAACACAATGAGAGAGAGGGCGGGTTGAAAAGGATCGATGTGGAGGAAAAACATGAGAAAGAGAAGAAACAGGAGCGATGAAAGAGAAAGTGTTTTCTTGTTTCCAGGTGGTGAAAGCTATATAAGTATCCATGTTTCAAGCTTGAAACGGATTAGACAGACAAACACATGAACAGGATGAAACAAGTTACAGGAATTCGGAATGACATATAGGTCTGGCATGCTGCAGCATGCATGCTGCTTTGCATGTGGTTGACCTTCTTCATACCTGCAGAGCAAAGGATGCAGCGAGTGGTCCTTTGGGTCGAGAAAAGTCCTCCTGGTGTGTTCTTTTACTAGCTGCTAGCTGTTGCAAGTATCAGCAGATGTTCTTTTGGCATTTCTTACTGTGGTTGCTACTTGATTCTAGGATGTTCTAGCCTGATTGTCATGGTTCTTCTTGAGCGGAAGCAGCTTGCACTGGGGTTAGCGGTGATTGTTCGTTGTCCAAGCGTAGGACAGGGTACACCTGGCTGTTCTTGACACACCCCATGCTGCCTGTTTGCTTCAACCGGTACATACAGAAAGATAGGCATCTGTGGTGAGTCCTCTGAACTTCTCGTCGACATCCCTCAGCTCAGGAGCAGTCAGGATCTTGCCGATGGTAACTTGGTTGACCAATGACGCAACCACGGCGGGGCGATGGACGACGATGGTCTGGCGTGGTGGTCCCCGACACTGGACTGGCAGGACTAACTCCCGCGCTGGGATGAGAGGGGTGGGTGGTTTGAGGGGTCAAGGAATATGGGCGAACATAGTCCATACATGGATCCGGGTATGAAAAGGACTGAAAAGGACGGTCAAAAGCGACTTTGGCTTTCAGCCCCTTTGGAGATTTCAGCCTATATCACCGTCACTTCTCGGATGACTTTTGTGAGACGGCAGTATGGATTTCGTGTACAGGTCTCACACATCCAGATGCTAACTGACCCGAAGATATGTTCAACGCCGAACCGAGTCCTGAACCCCATCGCAGCTTTGCCCGCTTATTTCCACATCTTGAATTGGACCAGAACCCATATACGAGTCTTTTGGTTCAAGGAGAAAGATTTCCCCCAAAACACGATTCTCCTCGCATCCACTGGGCCTTTTCCACGTCCGCTTCTGCGACCCTTGCAAACTCACGCTCCGCGCTCCGGCTGAGACCAATCCGACGACCTTCAGCAGGCGGTTTCGGCGGGACGCTGCGATGGGTTTGGGCGGACCCACCATCAGGCTGATGAACGGACATGAAGAGGCAAGCACGCTACTAGGGGCTCCGTCATCAATTCCCCTGTCCACGGGCCGCCCAAAAGGGGTCCATCAATAGACACCCCTTGGAGGGAGGGTCGGGATTTCTGGCAGGCGCCGCGGGGCGGCAGTGCGTCTGAAACGACCAGAGGAACCACGGAAGGGGTATGAAGGGGTGGTGAAGGGACATCCCTTCTTAACCCTGATGGGGAGCCCACAGATAGACAACCCTTGAGGGTCGCAGGCGCAGAGGATTTCTACAGAAGGGGAACATCCTTAAAATTTGGCTGAAGCTTTCT